GAGGCTCTTCAATACTCAGCCCTTGAGCCCTCCTGCCCTCACATGTGGAAAGCTATAGGATGCCCCTACAGAAGGTGTACTCATGTCCAGAGTAGCCGGTGCCTTCCCCATAGAGAAATGCACCTATGCCACACAGCGGTCTGAGCCCTGCCCGTCCCTATGGCCTTAGCCTTGAGGTCTGAACCCGCTGTTCACTGCTTCTTTCACTCCTGCCCCCTCCAGCATAGCAGTAGTCTCTCTCCCCGGGAGGCTGGGCAGCCAGGCAATCCACATGTTCTTCCTGGCTTACGATGTTCCCTCCTCCACGTTCCTCCCCATCACTGCACCAGGACATTCCCCCCAGGTGCTCTGGGCCACCTTCTCAGAGAGTTTGCTCCACATCCTCCTCTGTTGCCCCAAAGCCCTTTGTTATAGGGCCCTCCACCCTCTCAGTAAACCTCCCAGAAACCACGTCCTGTCACTGTCAGACCCCGCCAGTCTCAGGGGAGTGTCCGGAACTGAGAGTGCTGACGACCTACATAGGGTGCCCCCAAACACCAAAACTCAGAATGCCAGGTACAGAGGACCCCCGGGAGGCACCACAGCCTCAGGCAGCCCTGGATCCTCTGTGAGCAGGGACGGCAAGTCTCACCAGCTTCCCCATCCTTCCTGTCCTCACCCAGCCAGGCCTTTTGGAGACCCAGTCCACCCACAGGGCCTTGCAGGCTCCAGGTGCTTGTCAAGAAGACAGAATAGATAAATCTCAAAGTCAGCAAGTGAAAGAAATTTTTAAAAACATGCCCTTTTTTAAAACCAATATGAGAAATCTGTCAGAGCACCTGGACGTGAGGCTGACAGGTTACTAATTTGAAGTAGAGCGTTTTTCCAGCTCTATTGAGGCATGACTAAAAATAAAAACCGTGTGTTTACAGTGTGCAGTACAGTGGCTTGTCTCACGGACACGTGAAGCGACAGGCGGTGCTGCTTCGTGCCTGTGGTCTCTCGGCACCACCTCCAGTGTAGGTGGCAAGGACCCCCAGATCCGCTAGTGTAGAGTCTTAGGTAAGAGTGTGGCGTTATGAACTGTGGCCACCATGCTGCACGTGGGTCCCCGGGGCTTGTTCATCTTATAAAGACAGGTTTCCACCCTGTGACCAATGTCTTCGTGCCTCCCCGCTCCTCTGACAACCCCTTGCTCTACTCTTGCGTTGAGTTTGGCTTTTTGAAAACAAGTTTCTCGTGTGCTGCTCCACCCTGCCGATCCCGCCCTCTGCTGGCAGCACTTGGGCTCTGCGCCCCTCTCTCTGCCCCGTGGAAGCCTCTTCTGATGACGAGTTGCCATCAGATTTGAGATGTGTCCCATGTGTTCATGGCTTGGCTTTTATAGTAATGCTTTAAACTGTGTCTTAGAAACAAATTTAAGGAGTAACCACGTAGAATAAGCCCCTACCCAGCCTGAAATCTCTAGTGTCTCCTTACAGCAAGGCAAGTCGGGGGCTCCAAAGGGTGAAGACTTGACTGTGTGGTGTGTGTTTGCCCCTTAGCCCTCCCCATGTGGGGACCCTGGTGTCATGTGGTACAGTTGGCTCCTGGGAGGAAGTTGATGAAACCCTCAAGGTGACATCAGAGTGTCCCTGCATCTGTGCCCCATGGTTCAGCCTCCCTGGGAATGAGTGTGAGGAAACAGGCAGTGCCGTAAGGCCTTTTTCAAAGACATGCTCAGTGGTTTAGAGATGCTGGAGTCCCTGGAAACTTGTTTCCTTCTAGAAACAGGACCAGAACACAGTGGGAAAACTCATTTTCTGCAGCCTGTGGTCTTCTGAGGAGGCCCATGGGGGCATTGAGCACTGGGCCTTTGCCCCAGTCATAGCCTCAACCACATCTGCCCCTTTAACTCCTTTTCTGCTGTCAGCAGACAGGTCACAGGTTTGGGGAGGCATGTAGACTGGCTTGGTGGTTTGTTAGGGTTCCTGCAGTTTGCAAAGAGGAAAGCAGTTCAGTTCACCTGTGTTCTGAGAAGACCCCCACACATGCCCTTCCTGGTCTAACTCTTGGCCTGGCCCACAGGCAATCATGGATCATGGCCGGGAGCCCACCTGTCTGCTGCCGCTGTCGCCGCCTCCTGCTCCTCCTCTCTTTTCTCCTGCCGCCCATGTCCTAGCCTCACCTCCTTGCCCCCTTGGGTCTGCTCACACCCATCCATTTCTGCTTCCCAGGCACGAGGGAGCAGCTTCATCATCCACGCCTAAGGAGAGTTGTCGGGAGCACCTCCTTTTCCTTCTTTATATTCTGTCTGTCCCCAGTCTAGGATGCTTCCTCTTTGGTGTCATGTGGACTGTCCCTTCTCCCACATCACAGCCAGGTGCTGAGCAGGCCCTCATCCTCTCTCACCTGGCTGGCGGGCAGCCACAGGCAGGAACGTGTACCCCCTGTGTCTTGCCCCCATTATGCCTCCAGCATGCTGTGCCCTCTGTGCCTCAGCCCTGCCAGCTCCTTATAGCTCCCAGAGATGCCCACCTTGGCCCACTACCTGAGGCCACCTCCATTTACCCAGCCACCTGGCAGGTATTTGATTTGCCCTTACTACATGCCATGTGGATAAGTCAGAAACAGTTCCCACCCTCATGTGAATGGCAGACTGCTGAGAAGGTGGATAAATACCTGGGCAGCTGCAAAACTGGGAAATGCCTTGCTGGGAACAGGATGGGAGCTACAGGGGGTTGAGGAAGGGTCACCTCACCCCATCTGGGAGGTCAGAGAAGCTGTCTAGAGGGAGCAGCAAGTAGTAGTGGCCGAGGAAAGGGGGGAGGTGAGAGCCATTGCATGGCCAGGAGTGGGGAAGCTGCAGGTGATCAGGGCCCAGTGGCCTCGGAACTGTCAGCAGAGGAACATGTGGAGGAGCCTTATGGAGCTTTCCAACTGGAAAGAGAGAGCAGGTTGGCTCTTCTGGAAGCTCACCCCCACCACCACGTAGGGAAAGGGCTGGAGAGGATTCCTCCTTGAGGCTATCGCTGTAGTCCAGAAAAGAGAGGCCAGCGCCAAGGCAGGCAGGCCCCTGGAGGGTGAGGCTCAAGAAAGGTCCTTCATGTGAGCTGTGCTTAGGCAGTGCTTGGCTGGATGGAAGTGGGAGGTACAGGGTGTGACTTGGCAGCCAGTTGGGGAGATTTTCCATTTGCCCAGGAAAGTGGGGATAGGAGGGAGGGGCTTAGAAGAGGGTGCCTAAGTTCAGCTTGGGCTCCCTGTGCTGGTGCCCGGGGCACTCGGGCTGAGCCAAGGTGTCCAGCAGGCTGTGGTCTCTGGAAGTGAGGAGCCCACCCTCCCCTGTGGTCAAGCCCCACATGGGGAAGGTGGCAGCACTTAGACTCTACCCAGGGGTGGAAACGAGCCTAGGAGCAGGCCCAGGGTCAGCTGGGACTGAGGAGTGAGCAGGCAGGGAGGTGGACAGAGGGTGTGGGGAGCACTTGCCATCTGCTCTATGCTAAGGCTATAGGTTCCCGTCCCTGGGAACTGGCAGCAGGCACTGTGGACAAGGATCTCTTCCGCTGGGTGTTGGGCCCAGTGTCTCTCTTGGCAGCCGTGGCTGTGGGGTCAGAATCGGCACTGTCCTCCTTCATACGCTGACCTCAGCAGACTCAGCTGACACCGTAACACTTGCTTCGAGTTCCTCTGGTGCTGCAAGAGTGCAGCGTACACTCCAAATAGCAGTGTGTCCTCCCCGGGCCGGGCTGGGTCAGGTCGCCCTGCCCTGAGTGTGGACCGGCTGGGTGTTGTTTCCTCAGCGCCACAGACAGGGCCCAGGGCCCCTGTTGTGTGGGGAAGGAAGACATCTGCCAACTCTAGTTCCAGGTGGTGACATCCCCTCCGCGTCCTTTGTGCTTTGCTCCTTCGTGTGGAGTTCCTGCTGCACACTGAACGTCATTGTCACTCTGGGTTGCAGATTATCCCCAAACCAAGTGAGCCGGCTCGGCAGCCTGAAAGCCATCCCGAGGAGACGGAGGAGGAGCTTCGTGAGCACCAAGCCTTGCTGGACGATCCGTATCTGGACCGGCTTTCGGGGCAGAAGGAGGTGCACACACTGGCTGGTGTACAAGTGAAACAGGAGCCCATCGAGAGCGACGAGGAGGAGGCAGGTGCCCCCCGGGAGGGGGAGCCTGGCCCTCGCCAGCCCACGGAACAGGAGCTGCTGTTTAGACAGGTGACCGCAGGTGGGGAAGTGCCAGGAGCCAGGCGGCCACACACTGTCCCTGTGTCCAGTGTCCTCTGCACATGACCACAGAACACTGAAGGGCTCCCTTCCACTACTCCGTCCGGGGCCTCGCCCATCTTGTGACCAGTGAGGGGGCAGATGTGGTCTGTGCTCCACAAGCCATTTCTGGGGTAGCAGGCATGCCCCACTGTGGATATTAATGTCTGCTTGTCCTGGGGTGGGCCTGTTCACGTGTGCAGGCCACACGCTAACACAACATCCCAATGTTAGGAGGACTTGACATGCTCACTAAAGGTGAGGAAAGGGGGATTAATTTATTAGTTGATCAAAAAGGTAGGCAGGGTTTGATAGGAAGCCAGGACTTTTGGAGGCCAAGGAATGGCTGCACTATCTTTGCAGAACCAGAAGAGGACTGTGATTTGGGTACGCACAGCTCTAAGGCTCCAGGGCACTGACACACGGTAACCAAACTTACAAAGTCCAATGAATGATTTGTTAATTTCTAGTTAAAAGTAAAACTACCGAGTAAACAGAAATATTTAGGACAGTTGGACAGCAAGTTGGAAGACAGTGCCATGAGGGAGGTTGCTTTTTCCTGATAAGCAGGAAATGAGCTGGGGAGTCAGAGCAGTGGAGTTTGTATCCACAAACAGGGCGGCTGGATGGCTGGGCATGGCATCTGTACGGGGTCTGGCAGGGACTCCAGCTGTGCCCTCTCTTCTCCCTATACCCCTGCTGACCATCCTCTGACTTCCTTTCAGCTTCCTATGGCCAGCACTGTGGCTCCATCTCCCCAGCAGCACCTCTCAGCCAGAGACAGATGACTGTGAAATAGTCTGCTTCATTCTTTTCTCTTTCTTTCTTT